AACGTAATATCAATCTATCTACAGGAAAATGAACAAGAAACAGTCGCGACCAAAACAAGGAAAAATAAATTGATTCTGTCGCACTTGAATGAATATAGAAAGGGTTGTCTTTATGTCTTTAATACGTATGTAACAGTTGCATTCAATAATACCATCGAAATACTACAAATGTAGCACAGCAACTATCTTTCTAACGGTTCGTATTTAATCGGTGATTGATGAGCCTGTGAACAATACAATATCGAAATTACTCTTTTCTCCATTTGGGAGAATTGGGCAATGCACCTCATCATTATCATCATTACAGCCCTTCACAAGTCCACTGCTGAACATAGGCTTCCCCCAAGTAATGCCACAAAGCATGGTCCTGAGCCACCTGCATCCATCGATTTCTTGCATATCTTACCAGGTCGTCACTCCATCTAGTGGGGGTTGCCCTACACTACGCCTACCGGTACGAGGCTGCCACTCGAGAACCTTTCTTCCCCATCGGTTCTTCGAGATATAGGCCGGCCCATTGCCACTTCAGCTTATTAATCCGTTGGGCTATGTCGGTCACTGTGGTTTTACTACAGATATCCTCATTTCTGAGTCTATCACGCAGAGAAACTCCGAGCATAGCCCTCTCCATAGCTCGCTGAGTGACCTTGAGCGTCCTCATACGGCCAGTCTGCTAGCCGCAATGCACCTATCTAACTCTAATTTAATAGTATAACCTGTAACCAATCTAGATAATTATTAACTTATTATAATTGGATTTAGATATTGATTTTCAATAAATTTTTAAGAATTTTGTTTAATTGACTTTTACGTCGCATATGCCAGCTCCGTGGCGCAGTGGCTCAGCAATTAATTGCTGCGCTGGGGGCCGCGGGTTCGAATCCCGCTCGGAACAAATATTGTATAGCCTACAAATAATTGTTCCGGATCTGAATGTTTGTCCTTGTGCAATTTAAGTTTGCAAACTGTCTCCATGATACAGGAGAAAATCCTAGTGTGGGGTTAGCGTTTTGGAAAAAATGTAGATATGCGCGCGCCCAATTTTTTTTTTTCTTTTATAGAATAATGCTGACAAACGAGCAAACACTGTCCACCTAACGGTAAGTGGATGTTATGGTTATTCAATTAAGTATCAAAATGCAGATGCATTGTTACACCTGAGGTATAAGATGGAATGCCGCGCTTCCAGTAAAATTAATCTCCGGTTCTTTACACTCTCCGAAACACAACAGCATAAAGCTGCCCTTTTACGCTGGTATTCTGTATGAGCGTATTCCTACCCCGGTCGAGCCGACCCATTCGTGCTACAACCATAATATAACTGCAGCGTGGCTCTACCACGTATAAGTTTTGTATCTCTTTTTACACAAGTGTGAAAATTTTTAAGAGAACGCAAACTGTACACGTAAGTGCCAGGCAGCCGAACGCATTCGGCTTTATATTATTTAAAACGCATTTCATAATAATCCCTATTAGTAAAGAAACTAAGTGGTAATTAGGTTAAACAGCGCGGGCAGTCGGTGCGAACGGTAAATTCCTATTGTCGCGTTATCGGCATCCCCCAGTCGCCGACCCAACCCGGCCGGAATGTTGGTAGCAAACTTTAATTCCCTTTTGCTAGGTGAATTTTTAATTCGATCTAGGCATTACTGTAGACTTTACTAAGGTAGGTGTTATGATGTACAAACTTTTAAATTAAATATCAAAATATCAACTATATAATAAAAATAATTACTTAAAATAAGTTACTACTCAAATAATAAAATAAAATCTTTATCGTGGAGGCATTTGATATACGTAAATTGGAAATGGACAAATATACAGACCAGACACAATTATTAGCCAAAATTATTAACACCTTGAATTTTGGGGGATTTAAGCGCTTTAACCAAATGCTTAGTCATATCAAGCGTACCGCCGCCAATTACGATAAATATGATATGACGAATATTAAATAAATCTATACCATTTTGTAAGTACAAAAGACTCTTCCAAAGAAAAAGTATGCGAACGCGGAAATATGAGAACTAAAATGTATAATAGAATTTAACAGCAGATGTCAAATTTGGCGAAGACTGTGTCATAGTTTATATCCGAAAGTACCTATAAACCAAGTTTTGTAATTACTTAAAAAAACCTAAGAAACAACATGACCACTCGAAAAGAGCTGTGAAATAATCTTAAAATATTGTAATAGCAAAATGTTACTAGCGCAGTTAATTCATACGACGAATCTAAATATGTAGATGTGGGGATGATGAAATAACACGATTGTGCAAGTATAGCTTGACCTTAGATACTTACCTACCAAGTAATACTTTTGCATTTGAGAAACAATTTATATAAGTATGTTAAATGTCAGTCCGTTTTTCGAAAATGACTGTAGCCGAACTTCTATAATAAGCAACCACTGTGTTGCAACGTTAAAAGCGATATAATAGACGGACACGTGCGCCAGTACACTCCATCGAATCGCAATACGTACCCAATCAGGATTATACAAATCCCCCGCGGCCGAACGGGGCCGGGGAAATAATTACGATCGACGAGAGTTAATCAAGTGCCGAGCATTGAGGAAAAACTCCCGAATTTTCCTCCAATGTTACTCCGCTCATCGTGAGTCTAACGGATAATTTCTGACGTGATTAGTTTTTATTATGTGGATGTTAAAAACGAACTGAACATAATTTATTTAACATTAAGATTGGAAATGTTCTTTGGGAAACAATAACAAAAGTAGCCTTAATGAAACTTCTAACATAATGGTGATAAAATATACAAAAATACTACGAGTATCAAACTATAAGAAAAGACTCATACCTAATTATCAACTCGAGCCGTTACTTTAAATTGTACGTAATAAACATTTAGACCAAGAGTAATTAGTTGTAGATCTAAAAAAAACAAGTTCTATAAGAGGATTCAATCCCGTAATCGCGTAATGCCGGAGACAAACCCTTAGCCACTGCACTACGGAACTGTAGATTATGGAGAGAGTTACGCACGACACTTCTCTTTAAACTGAGAAGGATATTGCTCCTATGTCTGTCCTATGCCTATGACTGTCAGTTCTTCAAATTACATCCCGGCCGGTCATGTAATTTGAAGAACTGACAGTTGATAGATATCCTCATTAAGAAGATTACTAAGCAGAGTAACTCCGTCTCAGATCAATATGTAGTCACGGGCAACATATTCTTCTGATTGTATACTCTTGTTTCAAGACTTGAGGAATAACTAGAGACATGCAGATATGTTTTAATCTCCAATCACTCTTGGTCAAAGTAAGACTTATCTAATCAGTCTATTATCAGACCTTTTATAAAATATTTTTTTAATTGAAAACTTCTTTAGGATCGTTGTGATTAGATAGTCGATGTAAAGAAAAAGCGACACAAAAAAGACAAACATGTGCATCTATAGGATTTATCTTGCGAGATAATGAGATAGAATATTATATTCAATCAGTCGTGTTTAAACCACCTTGCGTCTATTTTACGTACCACCTTGAGAGTCAGTCCATTTTTGTTCTATAAAATGAAGTAGAGATTTGCCAGGCAATTTTACTCGAAATAAAATATTATTTTGATTTATTACACTAAATTTAGTGTAGTAAATCAAAATAATAGTAAAATTTTCAAAAAATAAGGATTTTATAATTAATTTATTTTATCTTAACTTTTATCTTATACTACCGTACTTTTGTTAAAAAATATTACAATTTATTGAATAAATCATGTCATCAATCGTTATATATTTTAATTTTATATTACATTTGAAAGTTTCACTTACACCGCGTGTGAACTGTATTCTCTTTTTTCTTTTTTATAAAACGTTACCTCCGCACTAGGAATATCTCGTGTATCGTCGTAGGGCAGTACATAAATTTCAGAAGGTAGTCCTTGTGAATTTTATGTATGTAAATTGCAAATTGTAAAAAATACCCGGGAAAATGCTGCATTATTTTGACCAGAGTGAACAGAACAAGAGACCGTTTTAAGTATTTCATCTTAATCCTCAATAATGACATTGCATCTGCATTTTGATTCTTAATAGAAGATAAAAATAAGATAAGATCAGCCGAAGAACCTATACTCGGGCCGCATTACTATCGTACTAAATACTATAAGAATTTTTTCACAGTAAATGCCATCTGTTTATGGAATAATCTTCCTCAGCAAATTCGTCGTGCAAAAACAATAGATAAGTTTAAGACTGACGTCAAAATTACTATCTAACTCTGCAGTAATCACTGGTTATCATTTGCGAGATTTAATTTTAGTATCCTGTCTGTATTCATATCTATGTAAATTTTAAGTATATTTGCCTACTTAATCTTAAGTATGTCTATCATATTTTTATTGTATTTATTGGTGTATTAAATATTTTGTTATTATATATTGGTTTACTTTATTTAGGTATCAGTTTGTAAGTTTATTACAATATATACCACCTCCCACTGTCCAATAGTACAATTTTCCCCTAATCTTAAGATTGTCTGGAAAAGATAGCTTTATAGAGATAAGACCGCCGTATTGTACCTACCTACCTCTTAAGTATTACTTTCTGTAATCTGTTTTTTATCGTTTTGTGGTGTACAATAAAGTATAATAATAATAATAATAAGGCCCATTTGTGCTTATGGCCGTCCACGATACGGTGCCGGGCCTGGGCGTCTCCCGTTAATAGACGCCCATATTATGGATGATGGAAAAAAGATAGTGCGCAAAGGGCCGCTGCCTGGAGGTCGCCAGGGCGCGTCTGGAGCTGGCGCTGGACGCGACAGCATGCGGGCCGCCAGCCGAGCGCGGGGTGTTGCAAGACCACCTAGCAGCCTCCCGCATCCATCATCCCCACCAAAAGGCTTGGTGTCGGCTGGGTCTTCTCGGACTCAGCAAGCGGCACCCGCCACTAGTGGAGCACGTCGCTTGCGTTGGTCTAAATCAATGAATGAAAACGCACTGCGGGTGTATTTTTAGGGCAAAAGGGGAAGAAACTGGATGTTTGGCGTATCGGGCTCGGATGCATCGCTTTTTTGGGAGCCATCTCTATCCGTCACTGAGCAAAACCTGGCAGACCGAGTTAGGTACATCCTGCGCTCCAACATATTTGGTGACGCCCAACTCGAGCGACTACGACGTGAGGCTATTCCTTCATCGAATGGAAATGCTACGGCTGGGAATACGGCGCTACTAGATGCGCAACAAACTGCATATGTGGATGCTGCCGTCAATATTCCATTTGTGGCTAATTCAGACGATGATGGAATAGTCTTCCACGAACTAGAGAAAATGAGGATCATATTGGAAGAGTCAATGCTGGAAACGCGCAGCATGCCTCTCGAAAATCGACTGCGACTTCCCCGCATACCCCTTAGCAAGCGAAATCGGGCTGTCGTGCGGGCTCTTAACCCAATGCTGGTGACCTATTTGGAAGCCAGCCGGGACCTTTGCGAGACGGATTCAATTCTTTTTGGCGCCGCACTGGCAATATGCCGTATTATTGGCGCCAAACTTCCCGTGGCTGGACGTGCTACTCAAAAAAGTAGCGCCATCCCAGCCTGGAGAAAAAGATATGAGGACCGTATCGCAAAGGCAAGGGCCCTTATCGGCAGACTGACAAGCTTCAGGTCGGGTAATAATAGACCGAGGATTATGCGCACCGTTAGGATGGCGTTTGCTGGGACAAATATCAGTTTGTTCCAACCGGATATCACGCAAAAACTAACGGAGCGCATAGATGACCTGAAGCAAAAAATCGCTGCTTGGGGGAAGCGGATTCGACGATTTAGCAAGAGGTCAAGGCGGTTCAACCAGAATCGTCTCTTCCAGAGTGATCAGAAGAGGCTCTATAAATCATTGGAGCGACCAGAGGTATGTGGAGCGGGCCCAGGACCGGATTAGGCCGACACTGTCGCATTTTGGCGTGGCCTGTGGTCAGAGCCCGTAAACCACAGCGAGGGCCCTTGGATGGAAGTTGTGGCGAGCCAGAGTGCAAGTGTTACGCCTATGGACCCCGTCACCATAACGCCTGAAGACGTGGCTGAGGCGGTCCGTAGGGCCCAGGACTGGAAAATTCCGGGGCTCGACGGGCTGCAACATTACTGGCTGAAGGGGTTCGTAGTGTGTCACGCTGTGCTTGCCCGACAGTTTCAAGAGGCTCTCGATCAGAAGTCGCTCCCGAGCCTCTTCACTACTGGTATCACTCATTTGGTTCCTAAAGATCAGGATACCACAGACCCGAGCAAATACCGCCCCATCACGTGTCTACCCACCATATATAAGACACTGACATCCATTTTGAGCGCGGGAGTCACTCGTCACCTGGAGCTAAATCTGGTGATGTCACGCGCTCAAAATGGATGCCGGGGCGGTGGTTGTGGAACCAAGGAACCACTCCTCATTGACGCGGTCATTGGCAAAGTGGTGAAACGCAACCGTCGGAATTTCTCTGACTACAGAAAGGCATTCGACTCGGTGCCCCATACATGGCTAAAGGTCCTCCAGCTGTACAAAATTGACTGTACAGTTGGAGACTTCCTCGAGCGGTGTATGGGGCAATGGAGTACGGTCCTTTGCTATCTGGGCGAGCGGATGATGGCTGCGGAGAACCACATAAGGAGAAGAAGGGGTATCTTCCAGGGCGATTGTCTGAGTCCAATCTGGTTTTGCCTCTCCCTGAACCCTCTCAGTACTTTACTGGAGGGCTCCGGGGGGGATTTCAGCTTCGGAAAGGAGGTACAAATGTGACCCACCTTTTCTATATGGATGACCTCAAGTTATTCGCCTCCAGTCGCTCCCATCTTATGGAATTGCTAAACATCACTTGTGGATTTAGCAGTTCTATTGGAATGGAGCTGGGAACGGATAAGTGTGCGGTCCTCCATGTTGAAAGGGGAAGGGTTGCTAACTCTGAGGGCATAGACTTATCTATGCCCGTCAACTTAAGGACTCTTTCCGAGGCTGAAACATACCGATACCTGGGTATGTCACAGAACATCGGTATCGATGAGGCTGGTATGAAACAGTCAGTTTGCGACGTGTTTTATGCACGCTTGACCAAAGTGCTTAACAGCCTTTTGTCCGGAGTGAATAAGACACACGCATATAACGGTTGGGTCATACCTGTCCTCATGTATACCTTTGGCATACTCAGGTGGACCCAGACTGAACTTAACGCCCTGGATAGAAAAGTCCGCACTACCATGACGTCTCATAGGATGCATCATCCGAGATCTCTACTTGCCGCGAAAGCATGGTGGACGTGGTTTTCTGAGCGCGCTCACCATGAATAATCGCGAAGTATGCAGCCTCCGTGATTACTTGCTGGCGAGATCGGATGATCCATTCTATAATGACGTCATTTCTAGTGATAAAGGGACTTACCCCTCTATCCTTAGCCAACGAGCAATGGCAGGACCCAGCAGTGCTTAGAATTTCCGACCGGGAGACCGTATGGAAGGAGAAGGAGCTCCACGGGAGGTTCTACAAGGCTCTACATGAGCCTTTCGTAGACAAAGTAGCCTCCCTCCACTGGCTACGCTTTGGTGATCTCTTCGGGGAAACCGAGGGTTTTGTCTGTGCAATACAGGATCAGGTTATTAAGACCAACAACTATCGGAGATACATCCTAAAGGATGGCACCGTGGACATCTGTCGAGCTTGTCGCCATCCCGGTGAGTCACTTAGGCATGTCATCTCCGGTTGTTCGGCGCTTTCTAACTCTGAGTATTTGCACAGGCACAACCTAGTAGCCAGAATTCTTCACCAGGAGCTCGCTCTGAAATACGGTCTCGTGGATCGGAAATTGCCGTATTACAAGTACTTGCCGGAAGCCGTGCTCGAAAATGATCGCGCCAGGCTCTATTGGGACCGGGGACAGACAGGACTATTCTTGCGAATAAGCCCGATATTGTGCTGATGGACCGGGCACAGTCAAGGATATTTTTGGTCGACATTACCATTCCGTATGACGAGAACCTCGTGAAAGCCGAAACAGATAAGCAAACAAAATATCTGGACCTGGCTCACGAGGTGACCGACATGTGGGGTGGTCTACCGACCGAAATTATTCCTGTAGTCGTCTCTGCAAACGGGCTAATCCCAGTCAGCCTCTCGGGTCATCTGAGGCGACTGGGACTACGTGGCGGACCGCTCCGGGCTCAAATGCAGAAGGCGGTGCTCCTTGATACCGCCCGCATCGCCCGCCGGTTTCTTTCCCTTTCCCCATAACCCTCGGCCGTTTGGTCTCCCCTGCCGAGGGCCTCCATCTGGTTGGGCTTTTATTTATTTCTGTATTTTTATATTTATTTTATGTTATTGATATTTATGTATATTTATCTTTTCATTTTCATTTATAATTATATATTTATAGAACCCAACCAGATGAGAAAACTATATAGATACCCCAAAAATAATAATAATAATAATAGTAGATACAGTCGCCTCCCTCAACTGGCTACGTTTCGGTGACCTCTTCGGGGAAACCGAGGGTTTTGTCTGTGCAATACAGGATCAGGTTATTAAGACCAACAACTATCGGAGATACATCCTAAAGGATGGCACCGTCGACGTCTGTCGAGCTAAAAAACTAAAAAACCGGAAATTGCCGTATTACAAGTACTTGCCTGAAGCCGTGCTCGAAAATGACCGCGCCAGGCTCTACTGGGACCGGACCATCATCACAGATAGGACTATTTTGCGAATAAGCCTGATATTGTGCTGATGGACCGGGCACATTCAAGGATATTTTTGGTCGATATTACCATCCCGTATGACGAGAACCTCGTGAGAGCCGAAACAGATAAGCAATCAAAATATCTGGACCTGGCTCACGAGGTGACCGACATGTGGGGTGGTCTGCCGACCGAAATTATTCCTGTAGTCGTCTCTGCGAATGGGCTAATCCCAGTTAGCCTCTCTGGTCATCTGAGGCGACTGGGACTCCGTGACGGACCGCTCCAGGCTCAAATGCAGAAAGCGGTGCTCCTTGATACTGCCCGCATCGTCCGCCGGTTTCTTTCCCTTTCACCCTAACCCTTGGCCATTTGGTCTCCCCTGCCGAGGGCTTCCATCTGGTTGGGCTTTTATTTATTTATGTATTTTCGTATTTATTTTATTTTATTGATATTTATGTATATTTATCTTTTCATTTTCGTTTATAATTATATATTTATACATCCCAAACAGATGAGAAAACTATATAGATACCCCACACATAATAATAATAAGTAAGTAAGTACTCGAGAATGATTCTGCCCAACTTTATTGGGATAGGTCAGTTTTAACTGACCGGACCGTTGAGCATAATCGACCGGACATAATATTAGTAGAAAAGGAGGAGAAGCGGACGTGGTTGTTGGATATTGGCATTCCAAACTCGCATAATGTGCAGAAGTACAGCACTGAAAAGTTGACTAAGTACCAGCGGTTAGCTGAAGAAATCCGACAGTTAAGGCGACAGCAGCAGGTACTTATCGTCCCGCTGATTCTCTCTACCACGGGAGTTGTTCCTAAATCCCTTACTGACAATTTAGCTAAGCTGGGCATTTCAGTGAGGGTGAGGAACAAAATTCAAAAAGCCGTAATTTTGGATACGACAGCGATAGTGCGTCGCCACCTCACAATTTAAACAAAAGAGCGGCATCTAGCGATCAGCCGATGCCGCATCTTAAAACCCTAAAAGGAGCGTTAATGGATAACCCATAATAATAATAATAGGTGTCTATGGGCTACCGCATTCAAATACCATCATCGTTTTTCACACTTACATTTATAATTATAATTAATTAATCAAAAACTCACAAAGTTTTACGTTGTCTACATGCCTTAAAATTATTATATTAATCCTTACAGTTATAAAAATAAACCAATATATTGACTCAAACACATCAACACTGTACAGAGATATTTTTAATAACATTGATCAACGAAAAAAGTGCTGGTCACTTTAAAAAGTTTTTAACATGAACCTAGAAAAAAGCTTTTTTCTAGGTCCATGGTTTTTAATATCAAATTGATAGTCATTGGAAATAAAATGATTTGGCGGTAAAAAATTAGTTGAACTAGAGGGAGTGAATTTTGTACTCGGAGTGATTATTAACATTTTTTTGTGGAAAAGCGCTATTTAAACATCTTTTTGATTCAAATTGGGTTAATTGTGATAATTTTACATTTTATGCAATGCAACGTTAACATTCAACTGGACAAAAGATGTTAAGAGCAATGGGAATGCTGCAGGCTGGTACTTTTCAACGTCACTGCGGCAATAGGCACCGGGCAAAATGTGATTGCGAGCTTGTAGTTACGCTATCGTGCTACGAGGAAAATGTTAGCTTTCTGTCTCTTCACGTAGTTGGACCTAGTCGTACAAGCCGGCTTTAACACCCTCAAGAAGTTAATTCATACCAAGGTACAATTATGATGTGGGCAGGAATTCGTTTTGGGGGGAGAACGGACCTTGTTTGGATACAGGGCACTATGACGCCTGAAAAATACCGTAATGAGGCGCTAAAACCAATATTCCTGCCACATCGAACACAAATGCGACGAAATGTTCTGCTTATACACGATAATGCCTATTCACATACGGCCAGAGTGATTGCAACAGTCTGCTTGCACAAAATTGATGTCACTGCCATAGAATGGCCCGCGCAGTCCCCAGATTTAAATTCAATTTATCGTGCTTGGGATATGTTACAAATAAGAGCTCTGAGGTACTTTCCTGAAAATCTGCTTACAGAAGAACAAATGCTCATGCAACTCCGTAGGACCCGGGACAGCACTCTTCAAAATGTTAGTGACAACCTCGTCCTGAGTATATTCAACCGATGCAGATGCGTTATAAATGTCATCGTTGGTTTTGTATTTACTTCGTTTCTTAATTTAAAAAATAAACTTTTATG